GACAGTAAACCTGTCTCGCGTGCAAGACAGTAAACACTGTCTCGCGTGTGAGATAGTAAAAACTGTCTCGCATGCGAGACAGTAAACACTGTCTCATATGGAAAGACAGTAAAGACTGTCTCGCATGGCGAGACAGTAAAGACTGTCTCGCGTGCGAGACAGTCTATACTTGTGTCTTTTTTCTCCTTTTGAGTTGCGCTTTCAGCATTTTTTGACGCCTACAATTACCTCTTATAACGATCACAAATAAATTTGTCTTTAGTGAGTGGTAAACTTACATGATGACCATATACACTTTTCCTTACACACTTCAATACCAAACAAACACAGGAAAAGTGGTAAATGTCTAATCAACAAAAAGTTTCCCTCTTTTTTTATACCAACCAAACACAAGAAAAATGTATACATTGGTTTTTCACCATGTTTTATGTGTGCAAATTCAAACAATTTATTTCTTAGAAAAGTTTGGAAAACCCAAAACTTAGATTTCTTTACATAGAATTGTGTTTCACTGGGGAACGAACCAAATGGCCCCTTAGACACAAACGCAAACAAACTTTTGTCAAATTCTAGCTATGACTTGTTACCTTCGGCTATTATTTGTTACTTTCGGCATGTGGCAGCGACGTTGTGGAATGATAGAGATCTCACTCTGTTCCATGGTTTTTGCATCAAATTTCCTTGCGGTAACTATGATCAAATGTGCCAAAATTGTATTTCTGCAAGGGCAACGATTAGTGTCAATAACTGCACTTTTTATGCATTAGGATAGAGTCTCATGTAATTCTCAATGCTAATAATTATCTTACGAATGTTTTTTTTAAGGCAACTGTTCTTATGAATGGTTTTTTTTTCCCTAAAGCACCTTTGTTCGAGTCAGCTTGATCAATTCTCCTATTTGTCAAATCTCTCCAAGCACTCTGGCCTGGTTTTATTTTTAACCAGGTCAGAATTGAACCAGGTAAGGTAAGGACTGGTCCAATTCTAACCTGGTTAGCAGTCTTCAAAATGAACTAAATACAGTTGTGCCAGCTCTGACCTAATTTTTCCCAATCACAAAAAGATGCTAAAACTGGGCTAGGTTTGAGCCTAGCCCCACTTTTAATAGTTTGTTAAACATGGCCTTAAAAGTTAGGAGTTGATGTGTTTGTTCTTTTTGCCATATTTATATGGAGAGTGAAAAGAGAAATACCAAAAACTATTCTTTTTGCCATTTAGATATTTCTTGCTACAGCATGATGTGTTTGTTTGGGAAAAATGTGTCCATGCCCCAAAAACAGAAACTCCATGTGCTGCAGCCCCTCCTAGTTTCCCCCATGTGGTTCAGCCCCTTGAAGTGTGACTTTTTGTGCTGCAGTCCCTTTTTAACAATTGTTACATGCCAACTAAACTAAAATCCCCAAAATAACATTATCCTCTCTCCTCAATCCTTCAAACCCAGTTCTCTCTCTCTCTCTCTCTCACTCTCTCTCTCTCTCTCTCTCTCTCTCTCTCTCTCTCTCTCTCTCCCCCCCTCTCTTTAAAAACAATGGTTTTCTCAAGCTCGTCGCTCTGGCTCTCGCCCTCCTCGCCGTCGCCACCTCCGCCCAGGCTCCCAAGCCTCCCTCGAGTTCGCCGCCGCCTCCCCTCCTCTCCTCCGCCCGACCTCGTCGCGGTAGCTCGCCGTCGCTCCCCGTCTCGCCCTTCTATTCTGTAGAGTGTTAGTTCTAATCTGCACAGTGTTAGTTCTATTCTGTAGAGTGTTAGTTCTAATCTGCACAGTGTTAGTTCTATTCTGTAGAGTGTTAGTTCTAATCTGCACAGTGTTAGTTCTATTCTGTAGAGTGTTAGTTCTAATCTGCACAGTGTTAGTTCTATTCTGTAGAGTGTTAGTTCTAATCTGCACAGTGTTAGTTCTATTCTGTAGAGTGTTAGTTCTAATCTGCACAGTGTTAGTTCTATTCTGTAGAGTGTTAGTTCTAATCTGCACAGTGTTAGTTCTATTCTGTAGAGTGTTAGTTCTAATCTGCACAGTGTTAGTTCTATTCTGTAGAGTGTTAGTTCTAATCTGCACAGTGTTAGTTCTATTCTGTAGAGTGTTAGTTCTAATCTGCACAGTGTTAGTTCTATTCTGTAGAGTGTTAGTTCTAATCTGCACAGTGTTAGTTCTATTCTGTAGAGTGTTAGTTCTAATCTGCACAGTGTTAGTTCTATTCTGTAGAGTGTTAGTTCTAATCTGCACAGTGTTAGTTCTATTCTGTAGAGTGTTAGTTCTAATCTGCACAGTGTTAGTTCTATTCTGTACAGTATTAGTTCTATTCTGTAGAGTGTTAGTTCTATTCTGTAGAGTGTTAGTTCTAATTTTAACCACGTTAGTTCTAATTTATACCACGTTAGTTCTAATTTATACCAAGTTAGTTCTAATTTATACAATGTTAGTTCTATTTTATACCAAGTTAGTTCTAATTTTAACCATATTAGTTGTAATTTATAACAAGTTAGTTCTAATTTATAACAAATTAGTTCTAATTTTAACCACGTTAGTTCTAATTTATACCACGTTAGTTCTAATTTATACCAAGTTAGTTCTAATTTATACAATGTTAGTTCTATTTTATACCAAGTTAGTTCTAATTTTAACCATATTAGTTGTAATTTATAACAAGTTAGTTCTAATTTATAACAAATTAGTTCTAATTTTAACCACGTTAGTTCTAATTTATACCACGTTAGTAGTTCTAATTTATACCAAGTTAGTTCTAATTTATATAATGTTAGTTCTATTTTATACCAAATTAGTTCTATTTTATATCACGTTAGTTCTAATTTTAACCATATTAGTTCTATTTTATACCAAGTTAGTTCTAATTTATAACAAATTAGTTCTAATTTTAACCACGTTAGTTCTAATTTATACCACGTTAGTTCTAATTTATACCAAGTTAGTTCTAATTTATACAATGTTAGTTCTATTTTATACCAAGTTAGTTCTATTTTATATCACGTTAGTTCTAATTTTAACCATATTAGTTCTATTTTATACCAAGTTAGTTCTAATTTATAACAAATTAGTTCTAATTTTATACCATGTTAGTTCTAATTTGCAACATGGTTAAACTTAGAACTAATTTGTCAACTTGGTTAAACTTAGAACTAATTTGTTATAAGTTTGAACTAACTTGTTATAAATTAGAACTAATATGGTTAAAATTAGAACTAACGTGATATAAAATAGAACTAACTTGGTATAAAATAGAACTAACATTATATAAATTAGTTCTAAGTTTAACAAATTAGTTCTAATTTTATACCATGTTAGTTCTAATTTACAACATGGTTAAACTTAGAACTAATTTGTCAACATGGTTAAAATTAGAACTAATTTGTTATAAATTAGAACTAACTTGTTATAAATTAGAACTAATATGATTAAAATTAGAACTAACGTGGTATAAAATAGAACTAACTTTATAAATTAGAACTAACGTGGTATAAATTAGAACTAACGTGGTTAAAATTAGAACTAACACTCTACAGAATAGAACTAACACTGTGCAGATTAGAACTAACACTCTACAGAATAGAACTAACACTGTGCAGATTAGAACTAACACTCTACAGAATAGAACTAACACTCTACA